TAGAATCTCCCAAAGACCTTCAAAAACCTGCATCTGGACCCTGGCCTACCCAGAGAGAGCCTTAGTTGGACTGGGCCTGGATATGGGATTTTGTAAAGCTTTGCAGGTGAATTAGCTAGGTGTAGTGGCTCATGCCTATGGGAGGCTGAGCCAACAGTACTGCCTGAACCCAGGAAATCGAGACAAGCTTGAACAACATGACAAGACCTCCTCTCTACCCTAAATTAAAAAGTTACCCAAGTATGGTGGCATGCACCTGTGGTTCCAGCTACAGGCAAGGTTTTGGTGGAAAATTCGCCTGAGCCCAGGAGGTTGAGACTGCGGTAGTTGATCATGCCACTGAACTCTAGCTTGGGTGACAGAGACTCTGACTCAAAAAGAAAAAAGCACTGCAGGTAAATTAAAGGGACAGCCAGAATTGAGAATCACCGCACTAGGGCTTGATTCAGTTTTGAATCCCAGCTCCACACTTACTAGCTTGGTAAGCTTGGGCAAGTTGCTCAATCACCCTACACCTCAAAGTCCTTATGCTAAAGCAAGAATTCAGCAAACAGTACTGTCGTGACGACATTAAGGGAAGCGGGTCAGTCTCTGGACCTTGACACAGTAGCAACATGGTGCTGGACCAGGACACCTCCCGCCCACCACTGGAGTATGTGAAGAGGGTCCCGTTCATCAATTACACTCCAAAGGGGCTGGTGACACTGGAGAACTTCAAGGCATGCCTGATGACCTGCTGATCAGCACCTACCCAAAGGCAGGTGGGTAAACAAGACCACCCATTCCCTCCTGGGTTGCAGTCCTCACCTTGGCCAGCAGTGCTGCCCTCAGCCCTGCTCACCTCTCATCTTCCTCCCTCTCGCCACAGGCACCACTTGGATCAGCCACATACTGGACGATCTACCAGGGCAGTGATGTAGAGAAGTGTAACAGGACCCCCATCGTCACTCAGGTGTCGTTCCTTGAGTTCCGTGTCCCAGGGCCTCCCTCAGGTGTGTGCCCGTGTGCTGGAGGCAAGGGGAGTAGAGGGAAACAGGACTGGGACTCCAGCTCACTAGACCTTTCCCAACCTGTGGTTCAGGTGTGGAGATCCTTCAAGATATACCGGCTCCACATCTCATCAAGACACACCGGCCGCTGGCCCTGCTCCCTCAGACTGTGTTGGAACAGGTCAAGGGCAGCCAGGAAGGAGGCTCCACAGCCATCCCAGCTTTGGGCCTGTTTTTCTGGTAAGGCCTCCTCACTTCCTTGAGGCTTGTCTCTGGTTTTGTTTTGTTTTTAGTCAGAATTTCACTCTGATGCCCAGGTTGGAGTGCAAGTGCACACTCATAGCCACTTCAGCCTCAATCTGCAGGGCTCAGATTATCCTTTCACTTCAGGCTTCCAAGTAGCTGGAACCACAGGCACGCACCACCATACCCTGCAATTTTCTCAAATTTATTGTAGAGATGAGGGCTCACCAAGTTGCCCAGGCTGGTCTCGAATTCCTGTACTCAGGCAATCTTCCTGCCTCCACCTCGCAAAGTGCTGGAATTACAGGCATGATCCACAGGCCCAGCCAGAGCCTTATCTCACCTTGGTGGGAGAGACCACCTGCCTCTAGCTCTGGTGTGGGTCAGACGACCAGGAAAGTGAGACCCTTCACACCTAAGAAAGCAGAGCCTGGGTGCCCATAGGTCTGGGGAGGAGGGGGCTGGTAGGGATGCGGCATGCCTTGCTCTAAATGTGGGTATTTTGGCATTAATGGATGTTAAATTAGAATAAAACATGGTTCCTGGGACAAGCCAGGACTTTGCCATCAGAGCAGTGTTCAGACCCTATCCCAGTCATAATTGTACCGTGAGATCTCAAGCAAGCCGCTTCTAAGCCCGTTTCCCACTTTGGAAAACCAAAAGCAAAACTGCTGTGGGGGGTACTGTGTGGTGATGGTGCTGGAGGTGGTTCCTCTGCCCCTGCAGATAGTCTATGTTGCCCGCAATGCCAAGGATGTGGCCGTCTCCTACTACCATTTCCTACCATATGGCCAAGTTATACCCTGAGCCTGGCATCTGGGACAGCTTCCTGGAGAAGTTCATGGCTGGAGGTGTGCCTGACAGAGGAAGGAGGAGGGGCGCTGGAGACAAGGAGCAGCTAGCCAAAATGATGACCTACCCTGTGTCCTTTCTGCAGTCTCCTATGAATCCTGGTTCCAGCATGTGCAGGAGTGGTGGGAGCTGAGTCGCACCCACCCTGTCCTCCACCTCTTCTATGAGGACATGAAGGAGGTGAGGCCATCTGTTACTGCTTCCTTCCAGGTCGCCCCTGGGAGGCAGTAACTCTGAGGCCCTGAGGAGCCTCTTAGACCCCTCCCCTAGGGCAGCCAACACGGCATCCTGGATTCCACATCCAGCGTTCCTGGCCTAGGCTCCTCAGCTACGATGCCACTTTGATGCACCGCTCATATCTTCTAGCACCTGAGTGAGCCACATGTGATAAAAACAGCAGTTTATTGCTATTGCTCATTGGTGCCAAAGGGTGTGTCAAGCCCTGGACCCACAGTCATAGAAGACTGCCAAAAACATTAGGAACAAAACACTGATTATTACAAATACAGGAAAGACAACAATTACATTTGCTCCAGGGAAACAGGACCAGAGTCAATGTCCTGGCTTTGAAGTTCCTAGTTGAAGTGGGCAGATCATTGTTGAGGCTTTTGTTTGCCTAATGAGCAACCCAAACCTTTACTGAAGAGGTCTCTGCTGCTCCAGAACCCCAGAAGGGAGATTCTGAAGGTCTTGGCATTTCTGGGACACTCACTGCCAGAGGAAACTGCGGACCACATTGTCCAGCACACGTCATTCAAGGAAATGAGGAAGAACTCCACGTGTAACTACAGCACCGTCCCCCTCGAAGTCATGGCCCACCGGATCTCCCCTTTCATGAGGAAAGTTGGGTGCCTCGCCAGCACAGGTGTTTGGGGAGGGTGGGAGCAGCGCCCTGAACTCTTCAGCCACTCAGGGCATCTTCTGCAGTCCAACCACAGCCTTGCTTCCTCCCTCTCCCCAAGGTATCATTGGAGACTGGAAAACCACCTTCACTGTGGCCCAGAATGAGCATTTTGATGCCAACTATGCTGAAAAGGCAGCAGGCTGCGACCTCACCTTCCCCTCGTAGCTGTATGGGGTGTTCCCTGGGAATTCCTCCAATGGGAATGTGGGAAACAGGACTGACCCATGGGCTTAAGAACAAAATGTGATTTCTGTACAACACAGAGCCTCTATTGGAAGCCAACAAAAAACCTGAGCTGAAAGAGTAAATGACCCCTGGACCAGACGAGGCCATCACTCACCCACCCCCTGCCCCAAACCAAGCCACCAGCTCCCCAGCTTGTCCTCTCAGGGAAAGCGAAAGAGGGTCTGCCGAAGAACAGAACTTCCTTTGTTACCACCCCTGAGGGGGGCAGGAGATGGCCAGTCTGCCAGCGACGTCACTTTTCCTTGGGCTCCTTGCAAGCCACCATGTATCTCTGAGCCACGCTGAGGGGAAGGGAAGAGCCATCTACATAGGACGTGTCCTGAGACAGGACTGAGTAGTCATCCTGGGGTTGCAGCAGAGCAGACAGGAGGGGCTAGTCAGAGAAACCCAGGCCAGGCCAGCCTATCCTCCCCCTGCACTGCCATAGACTGACAGGAGCCTCTGGGCCGTGGGCTGCCAAGCACTCCTGTCTTCATCTTTCACTTGAGTCAAGATATCTTGGCCTCAGTCCCTGCTGCACCAGATATCTTAGCAATAGAGGACAAGATAGGGATGAAGAGCACGGAGAAAGTAGACTCGCTCCCTACACAGTTGGGCCATAACTGAAAGACTTAGTACTATTTGGGGCTCCCATGTTAAGGGGATTAAGGATAACACAGGGCGATAGGCAGGCATCCTGCCCTCAGGCAATGTGCATCCACCATAATGAGTCATTAGGAGAATGAGCCTCTTACCTTGAGGCTCTATCTCCTCTAAATGCAGAAGTGAGGTGAGACTAGAAGAATGGTAAGTGAATGTGGGGCTTCCTAGTGAACCTTAAGCTGGCAAGAACAGGGTGGAGGGTGCTTGGCAGGGCTGGAGGGTGTGACAGAAAATTCGGGAAAGCAGAAGAGGGAGTGCAGCTTCCAGGTCCCTTCAGCTCAGAGGCTGGAGATGAGGAGAAAGCGGGAGAAAGTGTGAAGATGACACCCTGACCAGTCTGATCGGCCTGGTTCTTGTGTCAGGAACATCCTCTGCTGGGAGGTAGCCTTATCCGTTGTGGGGGTGTGTGCATCAGGGCATGGTAGAAGCAGGTGGTCTGGGGATACAGGGTGAGCACGAGCTTCTCCTTCTGTAATAAGGCCTCGGGGCCCGCCTAAGGGTTTGTGGGGCCCGCCTAAGGGTTTGCCTTCTGCTGGAGCGATGGGATGATCTGCCACAGGCTCAGGATGTGTCTCCAGGGGTGGCAAGGGCTCAAGTTCACCCATGGCCAGGGTTAGACTCCTTTCCAGCAGTTGGGCTGCCTCCCAGGCTTCCCCTGCCACTTCTTCTTCGCCTTCTTCATCCATGTCATCTATCTCATACCTGCAGAGGATCACAAGGAAATGCAGCAAGAGGGCAGTCTGAGTCAGGGAGAGAGGAAGAGCTCGAAGAGCCAGATGGTCCCTTCACACGCCATCCCCCCATAGCGCCCCCTGGGGAGCTTTTCTCCCAATTTGCAGTTAGGCGGCAAAGCAGTGGCTAAGTAGGTGTGACAAGAGGACAGCCCATGGGGCTGGCGGGCACTCACTTGGTGGCGGCATTGCTGTAACGGACCACCTCAGCCAGGATACACTGCTTGCCCCATCCATAGCCTTTACCACCAGGGCTGCCACCTTGTCTCCACGTTTGTCCACATAGTACCCTGAGACAGGAATGGTGTCACAGAGGGGTGGAGCCTGTATGTGGAACAAAGTGTAAGCCCCGGCTCCTGGACCAGCCCCTACCTTGCAGCTGATGCTCTCATTTGTCACCAGGCTTCCCGATCCATAGGGGCAGGGTCATCAATACCTTTCTTTGGGTGGTCTCCGAGGCATTGTACAGGCTGGAGATCCTGGCCACTGTGAAATGGAAGGGAACCCCTGAGGCACTAGAGATGTGTGCCTGCCCCCAAATCCAAGCTGCACTGAGCTGCTAGAGGAGCCCGGCTGGGAGACCCAACCTCCCCAGTGAGCAACAATGCCCTAACACAAGCCCAGCCCCTTCTGCTAAATGTCCTGGGACCACCAGGCTAAACAGACTGGCAAGACATCAGGACAGTGGATACCCCTGGGGGAAGGAACTAGAAAGAGACACAGGGTGGCTTCCGAGTGGCTGTCCACATTGTTTCTTACTCTGGCTGCTGGTTACTGAAGTGTTCAGTTAGGGAAAATTTCATTGAACTGTATACTTATGTGTACTTTTCTTTTAATATATATTATAATCCAATAAAAAGTTTTAAAAAAAAGATCAAATGTGGCACCCTGACCTCCTCAGGCACAGCTGAATAACCCCCTGATTTCAAACAACACCATAATGGCAGCGTGACGACACTCAGATGAATGAAGAATCTTCCCACTATGGGTTTGCTGGGAGGGGAAGAGAGGTGGGAGAGCCAAGGAAATGACAGTCCGAAGGGGTTCGGAGGGTTGGCTTTAAGACACAGAAGGCGTGACTCTGTAAACCAACCACTAGAAGAAATGGGAATCCTTGGAAGGACGAGGCTGACTAGCCCAGCCCCAAAGGCGAAGGGAGGTGACGGGGAAATCATCTAAGCCTGCGGAGGTAGAACTAGGAAGTCCCTGCCTCTAAAACTGGGAATGATCTCCATTCCCTTCCCAGCGTCAGATCCACTCTGCCAGAAACCCCATGGGGTGCTTCTACCAGGCTATGGCCACAGGCTCCCCACAGAGAAATGTGACTGCTGCTCTCAGGATCTCATTCAACCTGATCATCCAGTTTGCTCTCCAATTTACCAATCCATCTCTCTTCCAACAGAAACCTGACTTCAGCCATTTTGTCTAGGGTTTTCCAGAGGATGCTGAGGGTGGGGAAAAGGGAGAGATCTGGCTGAAACACACAGCATAGACTTCCTTTTCTAGTTATGGCACCCTGGGTTATTCAGGCCAACCCCACTGCTTGAAACTAGAAGTGCTCAGTATATGTTTATTATTCTTCCTTTTGTTAGAAAGCAGGATTTATTGAGAGGACACAAAAGCCCCCCAGGTGGGAAGGGACCAGAGGGTGTTGCCTGGTTTTTTAGTCTTAAAAACATAAAAGACAAGACAGCAGAAACTCAAAAAAGTAAGCAGGATTCCAGAGAGGTAAGCAAAGCAGATGAAGTGGCTCTTGGCAAATCCAGAACCAGGGATAGATCACTGCCTGGGACAGCTCAGAAATTATTTCACAGACGGGAGGAGAGGATGTGCAGTCAAACCTCACTGCTAATCACCACCTCAGCTCCCCCTCAGATCATCAGGGGTTAGATTCTCACCAGGAGGACCTAACCTATACCCCTCACATGCGCGGTTCACAATAGGTTTCCCGCTCGTTTAAGAATCGAATGCCCCCGCTGATATGACAGAAGACAAAGTTCAGCTCGCCAGCCACTCACCTCCTGCTGTGCAGCCCAGTTCCTAACAGACCACAAACTGGGGACTCCTGGTCTAAGGAAACTAAAAACAGTTCAGGAAATGATCTCAGGACCCCAGAAGGGTTAAGCAGTCATTTCCATGACTCTCAGCTTTACCAGATCATTCTCTTTCTGATGGGAACAAGAGACAAAATTAAGAGGCAAAAATATTGACCGACTGAGAAACTGGCCTTGGAAACACAGGGAAACAATGTGGGCGATACCTGAAACTGGTAATTTCTTACTCCCAAATGCCCTGGCCCTAGCTGGGTCACTTGTTGTCCTTCCTAGTTCTCGAGGAACTCTGTGCAAGGTCCTACCAATCCTCACAACTTGTGGTGAAAATGGACATGGAGCATCATCCCCGATTTTGCAACTCAGGCAAGTGTGCTCTTTCTGCTCTAATTCCATCCCTATGCTCCGTTCCTGGAAATCTCATAGTCTTTCCAGAGACAGCTGTAGACACATAAAAGGCCATGGAGCCATTCGACCTTCTTCAATGGGCCAGAACACTTCAGCATTCCATGCGTTGAGGAGGCCCTATTGGACACCACTTTTCCTGCAGCCTCTGAAAGGCTGAGAAACCCTGCTGGGGATGTGTGCAATTCTCTATCATGCCTCCAACACAGGGTTCATGTTGGGGAGAGGGAGCGGCATCTTCAGTAGTCAGGGCCCTGAAACCATCATCAGTACTTCTCATTTCTGCATCTTGAGGGCTGCCAAAAAGCAGGAACTCTCATTGTCTGAAGGTTGGGATGCTGATGGCAGGACAAACGCCTTTGTAAATCTTCTACAGAGAACTACAGAGAGCAAGTTTATGAGGCAGAGCCTTTAATGATACAACTTTTGCTTGACTAGTGGGACACAGAGGCTTAGGTGGGGAGAAGGACTTGTCCAAGGTAAAACAATGGACGGTGGCAGGGCAGGGGGAGGCCAAGTCCTAGACTCAGCCCAAGTGCCCCCTTCACCCACTCATACACAACACACCGACACAGAAGCTGGTCCTGACTTACAATGTAATGGCTGTGCAGGTCCCAATTCCTCATTTCTGCCGCTCTGGTGTCCATCCACTGCTCTGGGTCAGGGTTTCCTTTCAAAGGCATGGATGCACAGGAGCTCTTTGCCTAGGCAATCGTTCACCACCCTGGGGCGAGAGATGGGTTTAGGAAACATCAGGTCAGGGGCTAGGGTGCGGTCCCCTAAGCTAGCGTGATCAAGGTGACTGTAGTGTCCTGCGGTTGCAGTCTCCAGGACGTGGGAACAGGTGGGGAGTGGGCCATAACTGAAACACTCGAAGCTGGGGCCACGAAGGTGGACTCCTCAAGGCCAGAGTCACGTTGGAGACGGTGAGGCAGTGAGGTTGTCAGTGAAGGGGGAGTGGCCGGGGCTGTTGTCCCGGAGCTGCGTAAGGTGCTCCCCGGGCCTCACCGGTGTCTCTGAAGTAGCGGCATCCCCTCGACCTTGGCCGACACCACCAGGACAACGAAGCTGGACGCGCAGCGAATGAGGCTCGTATCCTCCCCTTCCTGCCTCACGGAATAATATGAACGCAGCCGAACCCGCCCCGCCCCCCAGAAGCCCTTAGTCCCTCGTCGAGCAGCTCAGTTCACCACGTGCTCCGCTTCCAGGTTCCGCTGTAGCTTCTCCCTGAGGTATTCGGGGCTGAACTCAATAGCGACAGCCCAGCAGCGACGAAATCTCAGCCGGAACCCGGTCACACCACCTTCCGCCCGTACAGGAGCTACTTCCGCTGGGCTACCTACTTCCGCCCTTAATAGACATCCGGAAGGCAGCACTTCCGCCCTCCAGAAGGTCGGTTGTTGCAACAGTCGAGGCTTTCCGCGCTTGTGTCTGTCTGCCGATCAGCATATGCATAAGCTCGACTCGCCGGAGCCGACGCTTATTGGCTGGCGCTCGCTGTCCGCACAGCAGCCACTGCGCTATGGGGCGGTTTTGAAACCTCCCTGCAGCCAGGAGAGGGTGCGCGAACCCGCATTGCCGTGGCCTCCGAGGTGCCTCGGGACCGTGCCCGAGCGCTTGTTCCAAAACAAGCATCTTGCCGCACCAGCGATCCAGCCCTCCCCGGGTGTAGGTCACGGCAATCAACCCAGCTGCGATCCCTGACCCGCTGCTCCCGATGGGCCCCACCGGGGGCGCGGAGAGGCCGGGGCGCTTCTTCGGCGTCTACCTGCTCTACTGCTTGAATCCACGGCATCGGGGTCGCGTCTACGTGGGGTTCACAGTGAACCCTGCTCGTCGGGTCCAGCAGCACAATGGGGGCCGCAAAAAAGGCGGGGCCTGGCGGACCAGCGGGCGAGGGCCCTGGTAAGAGGGGTCGGTCTCTGCGAGGAGGCAGGCTTCACCGAGGAGGTGGGCATCCGAGAGGGGCTGGGCCCGGCCTGTGACAGGGGGCAGGACTGGAAGGGGTAGAGGGCGGGGCCTATCCCAGGGAGGAGCCTAACAGGGAGGTGATGCCCTGCCAGATTGACTTTGGAACTCAGCGAAGTTGAGGGTGGTTTAGTGAGGTAGCCATCGACACTGGGCTGGTTTCTCTGGTTCGCCAATGAAACACGAGAAGCAGAAAACCGGGAGAAAAGAAGCTTAACCTGAATTTATAATTCAGGGAGACAGATTTAGTATTTTTACCACAGCCCCTCATAGCAACACAAATTCATCCCAGTGTTTATAGTATAACAGGCATTATCTTATTTATCTTAACTATTGATTAGTAGTTACGTGACTTGTGACCATTAGGATCTTTTCATTTCTTTCTTTCTTTTTTTTTTTTTTTGAATCATAGTCTCACTCGCCCAGGTTGGAGTACAGTGGCACCCAACACCGACCTACTGGGCTCAGGTGATCTTTCTGCCTCAGCCTTTCAAGTAGCTGGAACTACAGGGGCGTGCTACCACACCCAGCCAATTTTTTGGTATATAGTAGAAACGAGGTCTCACCAATTGCCCGGGCTCGTCTCGAACCCCTAGGCTCAAACAGTCTTCTCACCTTGGCCTCCCAAAGTGCTGGGATTACAGGTTTGGGCCACCGCATCCAGCTATTAGTATCTTTTCTAATCAGATTTTAGACCATAAACAGTGATCTAAGTCAGTGTCCAGAATGCATCAATCCTGTCATTCTTTCAAGTTACAATGATTTTTGGACAATTTGTGACTGAGTACTTGCCAATTAGTTACAGTTCTTCGCTTACGCCAGGAATTTTTTGTTCACAAGACTTAATAATTAACATTATTCACAAATTGGGTTCAAAGGCATGAAAGAAAGCAGTTGTCATCTAGAGGCTTAGGGAAGAGATACATTTTCTGTGTTTTAGGGAGTTTCAGCAGGACTCATTTCTTATCCTGGTCGGGCTGAGACTTTTTAGGGACTTGCAGTTTTTCTTTGTGCTTTTTGCATACAAATGGGCTTAATCCAAATGACCGTGTTCTTTTATTGCTTTCTGCCCTTACAGGACTATATCCAAGTTACTAGAGTTACAGTTACTAGATCCAAAGCCAGTGAAGGGGAGGAGGGGAAGAAGCAAATTGTGCATTCAAGCAGTTTTACGTTGAGCCTTAATTACAAAGGAAAATTTCTAAACTTAACCTTAAACAATCCATTTTATAAAAACTGGCCTAGCAAGAGGTAATAAGAAAGCAATTTCTATTTTCTATGGTTCCTGGGAGTGGTGTTAAAAGCTAATAGCTAGAATCACAGGCTACATATTGAGAACCCCTTAGCTGTCATTTTCGAGCAATAGGGGGTTTGATATGGCAGATCTCTTCATCATAGAGAGGGCACTGATGATCAAAACTGGGGTCCAGCAACAGGGGGCTTGATGTGTAAGCTGGAGTTGGGATAGAGCCTAGAAGGGAAACAAACTGAGGCAGTTAAGTATTTGGGACTGGAGGCGGGGCCTGAGGTCGACGTATGCAAGGGGAAGGAACCTCCATGAAGGGGGCGGGGCCTCGTGGCTAGGTTTGAAGACACTGTGAGGACTGAAGGAGAAACCATGGGCAGAGCATTCTCCTTGACCCTGGGTGTGGGGGCGGGACTTACAGGCCTCGCCCTCTTCTCCCCAGGGAGATGGTGCTCATCGTGCACGGCTTCCCATCCGCCGTGGCTGCCCTTAGGGTAAGAGAGTCAAAGGGGCTGGGGGTGGGTGGACGGGCCGGGGGATTGGGGGCCTGCCTCCCGCCGCCTCCCACCCTGAGCAGCCCTGACGCTCTTGAACCCTCCGCCCACAGTTCGAGTGGGCCTGGCAGCACTCGCAGGCCTCGCGCCGCCTGGCTCACGTGGGGCCGCGCCTGCGTAACGAGGCGGCCTTCGATTTCCACCTGCGCGTGCTGGCACACATGCTGCGTGCGCCGCCCTGGTCGCGACTCCCGCTCACCCTGCGCTGGCTGCGCCCCGACTTCCTCCGTGATCTTTGCCTGCCGCCGCCACCACACATGCCAGTGGCCTTCGGGCCTCCGCCGCCTCGGGCCTCAGCCCCAAGACACCACACCGGTCGCTTTGCTGACACTAAGCCTGAGCCGACCCAGGGTGCCACAGAGGCCTCGTGCTGCACCCTGTGCGCCCGCACGCTTCAGGTGAGATTCACCCCAGGTGGGGGCTGGTCTAGGGTGGAGATGACTTTGGGTCAGGCTGTTTGTTGAGGGACCAGACACACCTTGGCCACCATGTCTGCTCTCTAAAATGGTGATGATCGTACTTGTGGCCGTTCTGGGACACGCCAATACTTGCTTAGGGCCTTTGTCTGTTCCCTTTGACGGCAAGCTTCTTCCATAGACCTTCTGTTTTGATAACATGCCACTTTTGCAGTGAGGTCTTCCCTGGCTCTCCATTTAAAATTGCAGCTCTTTATATCACCCACCCCCATACTAAACTCCTGGAGGGCCGTGCTCATTCACTACTGTAGAACAAGGCCCTGCACAGAGCCCGGTGGTCAATAAAGAATAAAGTAACAGATGATGGGCCTGGTTTCTACTGTGCTTTTACTGATATGAATGAGTTGAGTGCTTGCCATTCCGAGATTAAGTGAGCTGCCTGAGGTTACTTAGCCTGTAGGTCTGACTGCAGTGGCCGAACTGTTTCATAATCACTGCTAATGCTCGAGGAAGTTGGCCAGTTCATTTCCTGAGGGCAAGTATTTAACCTCTCTGTACCTCAGTTTCCTCGCCTGTAAGATGCAAGTACTAGTAGTATCTACCTCACGGGTTGTTTTGTGTAATGCCCCCAGAACGGTGCCTGGTCCTCAGGGATGCTTTATGAGTATTAGCTACATCATTCCTTTGTCTTCTCCTGCCCCCTCTGACAGGATGAAGAGGGTCCCTTGTGTTGCCCCCACCCTGGCTGCCCCCTGAAGGCTCATGTGATCTGCCTGGCAGAGGAGTTTCTTCAGGAAGAACCAGGACAGCTTCTCCCCCTAGAGGGCCAATGCCCTAGGTGAGTCCAACACCCCTCCCCCAGCCTGGGCTAACCTTGGGAAGAGGGTGCCAACTGTCCAATCCAGGCCTGGGCAGCTGAGTCCTCATCTTGGAACCCAGGGCCTATCCTAGAGGGGCTTGTGATGCTTGACTCTGTATCTCCTACCAACTGTACTCTTGGTAGCTGTGAGAACTCATTGCTTTGGGGAGACCTGATCTGGCTGTGCCAGATGGACACTGAGGAGGAAGAAGATAACTCAGAATTAGAAGAGGTGAGATGGCTTTGCCTCCAGCCTCCCTACCCCTGGGTGCCATCCTCTGTGCTACCTTTGACCCATTCTCTTGCCTCCACAGGCACACTGGACAGACATGCTGGCGACCTGATATCAGTGTCCCTAACCCTCATCCCACTCCTTTTCTGTGACACCCCCAATGGATCTGGCCAGTTTTTACTTGAGTACAATAAAAAGTCTGACTTTAGCCAGGCAAGATGATTCGAGCCTGTAATCCTAGCACTTTGCAGGAATGAGGACCTAGCCCAAGATTCAGGATCAGCCTGGAAATGAAGCGAGATCCTGTCTAAAAAAATCAAGAAACTGGCCAGGTGTAGTGGTGAATGCCTATAGTCCCAAATACAAAAATAAAAATTTAAACATTTTTCAAAAAGTCTCAGTTTCAGGGTCCTTCTGGTGTTTGCTGAGGCGGGAGTGGGGGTTCAGCTGGTAGGCAGAGGTCCTGCCAGTCATGGGGTTTGGGTGAGGGTAGCAGAGGAGGGAGGAGAGGCAATTGGCCCAAACATGTGAGCAGGCCTGGAGGCCCCACTGCCTAAGCTTCCTCCAGCCTACCTCTGAGGTCACACAATTCTTTTAAATTGTCCAGAATCCTCTTTCCTTCTTTATTCTGAGTCACCAGAGTTTTGCTCATTTCCTTTCCAGGCTCTGGCCCCTCCCTACAAGTAAGCACAGTAGCTCAGTAGCTTGACTCGGGACTTTAATACAAATTATAAGGACAAAGGCCGAGGAGGAAGTGGGAGTATTCTCCTTTCACAGAGCCCTTTGGCTTCCAAGCCCTAATCTCTTGTCTCTGACTGCAGAGCCCCCTTCAAACCCAGGGAAAGAAAAGCACCTTCTAGAGGCTGTTACTCTTCCACCAATCATGAGTGATGCCCTGTGAGGTCATGAAGCTGGGACTCACTCTGAGGATTATTAGACTCTAGCATCCTTGTTCTTTCTTATCCCAAGCTACCTCAAAAAGTGCCTTCCTTGCTGTGTTCCACCCTCATCCCCTTGACCCTGCCCACACACATCACTCTGGACTCAATTTGTGGTCAGAGCCTGGAATGCCTTGGGCTGCTGGGGACCTGTGAGATGCACTGGGCCGGAACTCTTGGCCCTCCAAGACTAGTCTGGAGCCAGCATGAAGGTGACCTTGCTCATGTCTACCTAGTAAGTACCCCTCCACCTCTCTCCTTTCCCTTGACTGACTCAATTAGAAAAAACTGTCACTGGATACAGTAGCTCACACTTGTAATCACAGCACTTTGAGAGGCTGAGGCAAGAGGATCACTTGAACTCAGGAGTTCAAGATCAGCCTGGGAAATATAGTGAGACTGCTTCTCTATAAAAATTCACCTGAGGCTGGGCGCTGTGGCTCAAGCCTGTAATCCCAGCACTTTGGGAGGCTGAGGTAAGAGGATTGCCTGAACCCAGGGGTTTGAGACTAGCCTGGACAACTTGGTGAGACCTCGTCTCTATAATAAATCTAGAAAAATTAGCTGGGCATGGTGGCACACATCTGTAGTTCCAGCCACTTGGAAGGGTGAGGCGGAAAGATCACCTGAGCCCAGCAGGTTGAGGCTGCCGTGGCCATGAGCATGCCACTTCACTCTAGCCTGGGCAAGAGTGAGACTCCAACTCAAAAAAAAAAAACACCTGGGCATGGCCGCATACACCTGAAGCTAAGGAAGAAGGATCACTTGAGTCCAGGAGGTTACGGCTGCAGCAAGCTATGATCGCACCTTTATGTATCTCTCTTGTATTCTGCACACTAAACTCACATCTTGGGTTTTTAGATTAACCTAAACGTTGTTTTTACTGGGAGGCTAAGCAGGTAACATTGCCCTCCCACCCAAAACTCCACCCTTTCCCTTCACCAGGACAGCCGAATCGCAGCCCTGGCTTCAGATCCCTCCCACTTTGTTCCCACAAACCTTTGACACAGAGACCTGCTCAGCACTTGCCACACCACACCCACTAAGCCACAGCACACCGAGGAGGGCACGAGATCAGGTGAGTGTCAGAGTGTAGGTAGGCTGGGCCAGGTCACCCTCACCCTACTGAGCTCCTGGCTCAAACATTCCCAAAGCAGAGGCCAGCTCCCTTCTCTGGCATCCCTGCCCTTTTCTTATTGATGTCCCATATCAACAACTCCAGCCTGGTCAGAATTCCCCTCCCTTCCTTCTACTGAGCCATCACTTTTCTTCATTCTCATATTGGCTGTTGGCCCCAAAAGCAAACTCAGTTGCTCAGTTGGCCATGTTTATCTCCGAATCAAAATATGCAGTGTGGCTGGGCAAGTGGAATCAGAGGTCTGTTAACCTGGGAGGTTTCCACATGAGAGGCCTGGGGAGCTTTAGGAGGGGAGTTGTGGGGACAGGAGCCCTTTGGGTGGAGGCTGGGTGAGACAGCAAGAAATAGTAAGACAAAGCTGACTGACTGGGGTTAGGACAGGCAGGCCCTAGAGTCTTCTCAAATGCAGGCTGGAATCTCCCACAGAGCTTCGAAAGCCCTGCTCTATGGGTCCCACCCCCAGAGGAAGCCTTAATTAACTGAGCCTGGGCATTGGGATTTTTGAAAAGCTCTGCAGGTGATTTAGCCAGCGCCATGGCTCATGTTAGTAATCCCAGCACTTTGAAAGGACCAGTCATGAGGGTTGCCTCAGCCTAGGAGTTCCAGACCAGCCTGGGCAACATGGTAAGACCTCCTCTCTACAGTAAATAAGAAAATGACCTAGGCGTGGTTGAGTGTGCCTATAATCCCCGCTACTTGGAAGGCTGAGGTGGAAAATTGCCCACAGGTCAAGACTGCTGTAGCTGTGATCCTGTCACTGCACTTCAGCATGTGTGACAGAGTGAGACTGTGACTCAACCAAAACCAAAAACAAAAAAAAACTCTGCAGGTAAATTAAAGGGACAACCAGAACGTGAACCACTGCACTCAAGTTAGATGTGGTTTTGAATTCCAGATCCATCATTTACTAGCTTGGTGAGTTTGGGCAAGTTACGAAACCTCAGCGTCTTTATCCTAAAGCAAGAATTCGATAAATGGTATTGTTGTGAATGTATTACGGGAAGTGGGTTAGACTGTGGAACCTGACGCAGCAACATGGAGCTGGTCCAGGACACCTCCCGCCCACCACTGGTGTATGTGAAGGGGGTCCCGCTCGTCAAGTACTTTGCAGAGGGCCTGGGGTCGCTGGAGAGCTTCCAGGCCCAGCCTGATGACCTGTTGATCAGCACTTACCCAAAGGCAGGTAGGTAAGCAGGACCACTCACCCCAATCCTGGGCTGCAATCCCCACCTTAGCCGGCAGTGGTGCCCTCAGCCCTGGTCACCTCTCATCTTCCTCCCTCCCTCTCCAGGCACCACTTGGATCAGCCACATACTGGACATGATCTACCAGGGCGGCGACCTAGAGAAGTGTAACAGGGCCCCCATCTTTATTCGGGTGCCATTCCTTGAGTTCTGTGCCCCAGGGGTTCCCTCAGGTGTGTGGCAGAGTGCTGGGGCAAGGGGCATGGAGCAAGATAGGACTGGGGCTCCAGCTCACTAGACCTTTCCCATCCCATGGCTAAGGTATGGAGACTCTGCAAGATACACCAGCCCCACGGCTCATCAAGACACACCTGCCCCTGGCCCTGCTCCCCCAGACTCTGTTGGATCAGAAGGTCAAGGTGAGTGGCAAGGGCAGCCAGGGAGGAGGCTCCCAGGCCATCCCTACTTTGGGCCTCTTTATCTGGTAAGGCTTACTTCCTTGAGCCTTGTTTCATCTTGATGGGAGAGACAATCTGCCTCTTGCTCTGGTGAAGGTCAGATGACCAGGAATGTAAGACTCTTCAGATGTGAGAAAGGCAAAGTCTGGGTGCTCACAGGCACATAGAGGAGGGGGCTGATGGGAACATGGCATGCCTTGCTCTAAATGTAGGTGTATGGCATTGATGTCTGTTAAATTAGTATAAAATATGGTTCCAGGGAAAAGCCAGGACTTTGGCATCAGAACAGGGTTCAAATCCCAGTCCAGTCATACCTGTACCATGAGATCTCAATCAAGCCAGCCTAAAGGCTGCTTATTCCTCTGGCAAACCAAGAGATAACCTGGTGTGGGGCGTGCTGTCTGGCAATGGTGCTAGGGAGGGTCATCTGCCCCCGCAGGTGGTCTATGTCGCCCGCAATGCCAAGGATGTGGCCGTCTCCTACTATCATTTCTACCGCATGGCCAAGGTACACCCTGAGCCTGGCACCTGGGACAGCTTCCTGGAGAAGTTCATGGCTGGAGAAGGTGGGCCTGACTCTGGAATGAGAGGGGGGATGGAGCCAAGGAACAGCTAGCTAAAATGACTACCAACCCTTGTGTCTTTTCTCCAGTGTCCCATGGGTCCTGGTACCAGCACGTGCGGGAGTGGTGGGAGCTGAGTCGCACCCACCCTGTCCTCTACCTCTTCTATGAGGACATGAAGGAGGTGAGACCCCTGTTACTGCTTCCCTCCAGGTCACACCTGGGAGGCAGGAGCTTCCAGCGACCTGACAAGCCCACTTAGAGCCAGTCCAGGATTCCCCATCCTGCATGCCTGGTGTGGAACCCTCAGCCATGGGGCCGCCTCAAAGCAGGTTCCTGCACAGTTCTTATCTCCTAGCACCTGAGTCAGCTTTATGTCACTGACCAACAGTTTACTGCTATTGCTCGTCGGTGCCAAAGGGTGTGTCCAGCCCTGGGCCCACAGTTATGGAAGACTGTCTCACCCATAAGGAGCCAAACCCTGATTATTACAGATTACAGGGCAGAGAGCAGTCAATTTTGTTTCAGAGAAAAAGGACCAGAGTCAAGGAGCTGGCTCTGAGATTTCTAGTAGAAATGATCACATCCTTTCTGAGGTTAGAGAAGGGGATCCCCCTCTTGTTTGCCCACTGAGCAATCCAAACCTCTACTGAAGAACCCTCTGCTGCTCCAGAACCCCAAAAGGGAGATTCTGAAGGTCTTGGAGTTTCTGGGGCGCTCCCTGCCAGAGGAGACCGTGGACCACATCGTCCAGCACACGTCATTCAAGGAGATGAAGAAGAACCCTATGTCTAACTATGGCACCATCCCCATCAACCTCATGGACCCCAACATCTCCCCTTTCATGAGGAAAGGTGGGTGTCTGGTCAGGACAGGTGTTTGGAGAGGTTGGGAGCAGCAGCTGGAACTCACCCCGAGCCACTCAGAACCCCCTCTGCAGTGCAACCCCAGCCTCCCTCCCTCGCCCTCCCCAAGGTATCACTGGAGACTGGAAAACCACCTTCACTGTGACCCAGAATGAGCACTTCAACGCCGACTATGCTGAGAAGATGGCAGGCTGCGACCTCACCTTCCGCTCATAGCTGTGGGGGGTGTTGCCTGGGAAGGTGTGGGGAGTGTTGCCTGGGAAGCCAAACCCTGATTATCCAAAGGGCATGTGGGAAACAGGCCTGCTCCATGGGCTTAAGAATAAAATGTGATTTCTGTTCAACGCAGAGTGTCTATTGGAAACCAAGACAAATCCTCAGCTGAAAGAGTAAATGCCTACTGGGACCAAATAAAGCCATCGCCCTCCCAGCCTCCAGCTCCCTAACTTGTCCTCTTTTCCCTCTTTGGGGAAGGAAAGAGGGTCTGCAGAAGTACAACCCAGGAAAAGTGGGCGAGGGGGAAGAGTATTTAATTACAGAACATCCTTTCTTGCCACCCATGAGTGGGGCGGGAGATGGCGACTCTGCTGACCAACATTTTCTTAGGCTCCTTACAAGCCACCACGTACCTCTGGGCCACACTGAGAAGAGAGGAATAATCACCTGCATAGAAGGTGTCCTCAAACAGGACTGAGTAGTCATCATGGGCTGGTCAGAATCCCCAGGCCAGGCCAGTCCAGCCTCTCTCTGCCCCACCCTAGCTGACAGGTGCCTCTGGGCTGTGGGCTCCAAGTGCTCCTGTCTTCATCTTATACTTGAGTCAAAAAGTCTTGACCTCAGTCCTGTCTGCTTTAGAGCTCTTAGCAACAGAGGACAAGGACAGGGGATAAAAGAGCAAGAAAAGGGAGACTCGCTCACTACATGCTTGTGCCATAACTAGAGGGCTTAGTGCTGTTCGAGACTCCTGTGTTAAGGAAATCAAAGACAACCAAGAGGGCTGCAGACAGGGATCCTGCCCTCAGGTTATGTGTGTCCAGGGTAACATGTCATCAGAGGGTGAGCCTCCCATCTTGGGGCTCTATCTCCTCTAAGCAGAGGTCAGGTGATACTAGAGGGACGGCAGGTCCCCTTGGGGCTTGCTAGAGCATCCAGGGCTGGCAATGAGAGGGTGGCTGGTTGGGCTGGAGGAAACAGAACAAACTCAGGGTAGAAGCAGTGGGCGGGCTTCCAGATTACTTCAGCTTGAGGCTGGAGATGAGGGTAAAGGAGGAGGAAGCAGGAAGATGACTCCCTGACCTGTCTGGTCTGTCTGGTCCTGGTGTCAGGAACATCCTCTCCTGTGGAGGCGGCCTTACTGTTGTGGGGATGCATGGATCAGGGCATGGTAGAATCTGGTGGCCTGGGGATACAGGGCCAGCACGAGTTGTACCTTCTGGAATAAAGGCCTTGGGGTCTATCTCAGGGTTGGCCTTCCACTGGGAGAGTGGGAAGATTTTCAGTAGGTTCAGGGTGTGTCTCCTGGGGTGGGGATGGCTCATGCCAACCCATGGCCAGGGGATAGACTTCTTCTCAGCAGCTGGGCTGTCACCTAGGCTTCCATTGCCACTTCTTCTTTGCCTTCTTCATTCATGTCATCTACCTCAACCTGCAGATGAACAAAAGGAAAATGCCATGAGAGGGCAGTCCTAGTCAGGGAGTGAGGAGGAGCTAAAAGAACCAGATGCTCCCTTCAAATGCCATCCCAGCCCATAGTGGCTCTTTGGCACCTTTTCTCCCATTTTGTAGACAGGCAACCAAGAAGGGGTCAAGTAGGTGTGACAAGAGGACAGTCCACGGGACTGGTGAGCACTCACGTATTGGAGGTATGGCTGTAACTGACTACCTCGGCCAGGATACACTGTTCGTTTTCATCCGCAGCCTTTACACAAGCAGCCACCTTGTCTCCAGGTTTGGCCACATTGTCCCCTGAGGCTGCAATGGCCCCACAGAGGGGTGGGGGCCTATAAGTGGAACAAAGCATTAGTCCCAGGCCCTAAACACCAGTTCCTCCCTGACAGCTGCTGTGCTCACTTGTCACCATGCTTCCTGATCCATGGGTACAGAGTCATCAACAGTCCTCTGTATGTAGTCTTCCAAGGTAGCTCTGAGTTGTTGTACAGGCTGGCAACCTTGGCCACTATGGGACAAAAGGGAGCCCTTGAGCCACCAGGGATGAGTGCCTTCCCCTAGACCCATGCCAGCACCTGCACTGAGCTGCTAAAGGAGCCCTGCTAGGAGGCTCTACCTCCCCAATGAGCACCAAGGGCCCAGCATGAGCCCAGTCTCTTCTGCTAAATGTCCTGGGATTGCTGGGCTAAACAGACTGGCAAGACATCGGGAGTGGATACCCTTGGGGAAGGAACTAGAAAGGGACACAGGGAGGCTTTTGAGGGGCTGTTCATATTCCATTTCTTTTTTTTTTAGTTGGAGTCTGACTCAACTGTTACCCAGGCTGGAGTGCAGTGGTACACTCACCATCACCACAACCTCAATCTGCTGGGCTCAGACGATCCTCCCATTTCAGCCTTCCAAGTAGCTGGAGCTACAGGTATGGGCCATCATGCCTAACTATTTATTTATTTATTTATTTATTTATTTATTTATTTATTTTATTTATTTTAGAGATGAAGTCTCACCATGTTGCTCAGGCTGGTCTTGAACCCATTGGCCCAGGCAATCTTCTTGCCTCAGGCTCTCAAAATGCTGGGATTATAGGTGTGAGTCACTGTGCCCAGCTATATTCTGTTTCTTGATATGGGTTCTTGTTAGATAAGTGTTCAGTTAGTACAAATTTCATTGAGCTGTATACTTATGTGTACTTTTCTATTAATATATGTTATAACCCAATAAAAAGGTTTTTTTAAATGATCAAATGTGGATTCCTGACCTCCTCAGGCACAGCTGAACACACCTCACTGATTTCAAACCAAACCATAATGGCAGCGTGACTATTCTCTGATTAGTGGGAAGAGAGTTTCCTGGGAGGGCAAGAGAGGTTTCCTGGGAGGGCAAGAGAGGCGGGAGAGCCAAGGTAATAGCAATCTGAAGGGGTCTGGAAGGCTGGCTTTAAGACACAGAGGGTGTGACTCTGTAAACCAACCCACAAGAAGTGGGAGTAGAGGAAGAACGAGGCTGACTGGCCCAGTGCCAGAAGGGGAGGGAGAGGAGAGGGAATCAGCTAATCCTGTGGAGAGAACTACTAGGATGACCCTGCCTCCTAGCACTGAGAAGATCTCCATTCCCTTCCCAGTGTCAGATCCACTCTGCCAGAAACCCTATGGGATGCTTCCACTAGGTTGTGGCCACAGGCTCCCCACGGGGAGATGTGACTGCTGCTCTCAGGACCTCACTTACCAACTTACCAATCCACCTCTCTTTCAACAGAGACTTGATTTCAGCTATTTTGTCTAGGGTTTTCCGGATGCCAAGGATGGGAAGAAGGGAGAGAAGGTCTGGCTGAAACACAGCATAGATTTCCTTTTCTGGTTATGGCAGCCTGAGTTATTCAGACCAGCCCTACTGCTGAAAACTAGAAACCCTTAGCATGTATTTTTTAGTCTTAAAAGCATAAAAGACAGTAGGAAATGGCAAGCCAAAAACTCTTACAGAAAGCAGGATTCCAAAGAGGTAAGCAAAACAGACAAAGCGGCTCTTGGCAAATCCTGAAGAAATGCTGCTCAGTTCTGGCAGCCTCTGACAACCTCTTGCAATGAAGAAGACAGAAGGTGAAACTCAGGTCTGCCCAAGGTGGGATATGTGAGAATTCCCCAGAGTACTGTTGGGAGAGGTGCTGGCTGAGAGTTGGACTCGGGTGGAGGGGCCTCATCCCTGAAAGGCTATGCCCACAGACAGACCCTTGTATGGACTTGCAGCCCCAGGAAATCTGTGAAGTCAGTTTACAGACTACCAGGGACCCAAGTAAACTGGCAGCAGTAAACACAAAGCTTTTCCGGAGGCAGACTTCTTTATCCTAGATCTTGTGGAATCTTCCCCAAGGAATATTTCAACAGCAGTGAGCAGCAGATTCCACTTTGGGTCTCCAAAGAGATTCACATTTATTCTTCTCTGTTCCCAAGCAAACCCACTCCATTCCTCTAGCAAATCTATGTTCCTAAAGACCTTTGCCCAACAGGAGACACATGAACTGAGCTCTTCAGCATATCAATACACAGTGGTCCCAGTGGGCATCCCAGGGTTCATGACCCATGGAGCCTATCAGGCAGAGGTCAAAAGACTGGAGTAGTGCAGGGGCAGCTAAGCCAAAGCAGGGAGTGGGGGATAGCCCGCTGTGCTTGGAGCATCACAGTTCAGTGTTACTGGTGCAGGGTACAGGGGAGAGCTCAGCCTCGGCCCCCACAGGCTGTGCACTCTGGGACCCCAGAAAGCAGAGAAGGAACAAGAGCCAGGAGACCAAAGGGAACTCTGAAAAGTCTGATCATTGCCTCCGGTCCTATTTGGAGGACACAGTTTGATGTAGCTTGCCCTAAATTGTATTCTGAGATATATATTTTATTTTATTTTTTATTTTTTGAGTCAGAGTTTCACTCTGTCGCCCAGGCTGGAGAGCATTGGTATGTTCACAGCCACTGCAACCTCAACCTGCTGGGCTCAGGTGATCCTTCCACCTCAGCCTTCCAAGTAGCTGGAACCACAGGCATGTGCCACCACACCCAGCTAATTTTTTGCTGTATTGTAGAGACTAGGTCTCGCCATGTTGCTCAGGCTGGTCTAAAACCCCTGAGCTCAGGCAATCCTCTCGCCTCTACCTCCCAAAGTGCTGGGATTACAGGCTTGAGCCACCGTGCCTGACCTGAGATATATTAATAAAGTGGTTTTTCAACCCTAACTGGACATCAGAATCTTCTGGAGAACTTTTTAAAAAATCGCAATTGTTTCAGACACAAATCATACATGGATGCTAAAACTAGTGGGCTTGATGTGACATGAGACAGTTACAAGTCTCAACGAATCTCTGAACTAGAGTCTTATTGATTACACAGTGGAAAATAGCAGTAATTTGACACTGGAGAAATCTGGAAGACACCACTTGACTAATGGGACAGACAGTATCTTGTGCTTTCGAATGCATTCCACCAAGGACATCACTTCTGTGGTATTACTGTCAAAAGTGCAATAGCTAAATTGAACAGTGAAGAAACATGAGAAAGTCAATACCAATGGCTGAACTTCACCCCAACTAAACCAGTGTTTAAATGTATTCTACCACCAAGCAAGTTTGTAAAATACTGAGTAAAAAGAAGTAGTTACTACAGAATTTATCAAAGGTTTTA